GAAAGGTAGTAAAACTATAGCATGAGGACCAAACCGGTGCATTTATATTGGAATATAAGCATGAATTACTGTGAGCCATTATGTTTGTGCCCCTTGGGCTAAAAAGCGTAAAATAGATTTATGGCAAAGGCGAAAAGAGATGGGGAATGGGGGGAAACGAGGGCGAGACCTAATTAAAGTCCAAAGCTCAAGGGTTAAAAAAGAGGAGGCTGATTTAAAACGATAATGAAAGAAAAATTATTCCTGCTGTTTTGATGATGGCTCACCCCGTGTGTTCAAAGTGCACAAATCAGTACACACTCAATCTAAGGATACGTGACATTCAGTACATGGTCTTCAGTGATTTGGCATCCCTTTACACGAGTGGTTCCTTGCTTGAATGAGCTCCCCCCTTTTTTGCTTGATTTAAAACCTAAGGATACTAAATCTGTGATTTATGTTATCCTGTGGCATAAGGATTGCCAAACAGTGTACGTGATTGGAATTGAACGTCAGCAATTTCTGCTTTCCACTCTCTACCCACATCTTCTTATCGCTCCACTCCCAGCTGCTCCAGGTTTTCTGTTTTCTACAATGAAATGTTCTTTATCCCAGTTGTTCTCTGCTAACCTTAAAATAACACCATTTACAGTTTGCTCTGTAGGAAATGATGTGCATGCTGCCCTTCATGTGTATTGCACAATGCAAAGTAACATTTAGATGGCATTTAAATGAGGTGGAGACTCATGAAGTGAGGTAGACAGATGTGGATCTTCTGTTAGAAGTCGATAAGACAATGAGAATGTTTCATCAAAGTTGTAATTATCCTGATAAATAAATGTGTATTTAAAAGTTGTAAAAGGTAGAGGGCCTGGATGACAGAGACAGACCCTCACCACACATCTGTCCGTCATGGATTATCTACACTCACTGTTGGTGGCCAAAAGACAGACTGCAAAACAGTCCAGCAGTTCAGTTTGTAGAAATAAAGCTGAATAAAAATCATGTTGGGCTTGCTGCTCTGCTCCCACGCTGCTCTGCTCACATTCCTTGTTGCAGATATGTTAGAAAAGATAAATAAAAACAAAGATTTCCCTTGTGAACCAGCCAAATTGCTTTTCTGTAGAGAGATACAACTAGACTGAGATACTGTTAGTGCTATAGAAGGACGCAATTATGCAGGATAATAACTCCAATGTGGGCAGACACATGAAGTCAATATTATCATAACATTGTACATATGGAGTTTTGAGAAGCTATAAGCATTAGGCTTAACTGTATAAGTCTGTATCTTTTGCTATCAGTAACAATATTTCGTTTTTTGTTCCACTGCTAGTTGTATTCCTCAGAAATCCTGCGGGATCCATGTTTACTGTTGCAGACATTTATTTTAAAGGCTGCTTAACTGTGCAGCCCCTAATGTATTTGGGAGCCGTAGCCACCCTCGGAAATTGGTTGCTTCGGGTGTGATAATGTTTGGGAGTGGGAGTTAATCAAATGTATGTAACCCCATATTGTTATGGTCCAAGTGTTGGGATATCTATCGTGAAACTTTTAATATCCAGCGCCTGGAGTTTGAGAAAGGTTTCACTAAGCTTAAAGGGGAACTATCATGCAAAATGCACTTTTGTACGTCTTTTATACATGAATATGTGTCCCCGGTGTTCCAGGGAACTCACCAAGTGTCAGAAAACACAACCCTCTCTATTTTCCTCCATACCCAAATCTCTAAAAAAGGGGCTGCAACGGATCTGATAAAAACTGATCCAGATTTGAACACTGTCCTGACGTCAGGACAGTGGCGCTACGGCTATTGGGGCAACTCCACCAATCAGGAGGAGACAGCCACGGCCATTGCCGTTCGAAAGCGCTGGAGACGTTGTAGTACATATGCCAGGCCTGTAGGTGGTGCTGTTCTCACAGAATCTGCCCTTACAAACACAGAGCTAAAAAATGTCAAATTGAGCAAAATGAGGCATGGCTAAAATGCATGATCTGTTTGGTATTTTGCAAAAAAAAAGGTATAAATATGCCTTATATAGGTATGGTCCTACACTATATTATTCAAATATAGCATGATAGGTCCACTTTAAATTGCTGAATTTACTTTACGCCATATAAACTTGATGAAATGGGATTTGCTTCTCAAGCTCATTGTATTTTGTCCATATGGTTTAGGTTTATAAAACTGTTGAACTATGGAAATCAGTTATTTAAAACAGATCAGGTGCATCATGTAGTACAGGATTGTATAATATTGGACTCACTACAAGAGTCACATTCAGTTTGTATTCAGTTTAGAGCATCTGCTAAAATGTGATTGGTCATCTTGGGCTGCTAATGGATTTCCCCGCATATTTCTTGTGCCATTGGAGGTTGTGACCACATTAGTCAAGTTGAGAACGGGCACTGTGACCTTCTGTTCAAGCAAAGATGTCTGTTTTGCTATGACCTTGTTTTATTAACTTAAGCTGCTCTTACTTTGATCATTATTCTAATGATGTTCAACCCCTGATGTGAGACAAATGGTACAAGCAATTAAAGTGTCTCTCTCTTGAGACTTCTTTACACTTTGTAGTTTTATGAAGCCAAAGGAAACTGCCAACTTAAATAAATTAAAAGCTGGTGACCTCAAGTGTCTTACTGAAAGTAGTGTCAATCTTTGTGTATACATTTTTTATTAAAAAAGAGCTGAACCAAATGTTTATGACATCCCCACGTTTTTTAAAAAGCACTTATCAGGGTCGTCCGATGTAAAGGTTTACACCATAGTTGGACAATACTGGCTGTGACTGAAAACCATGTGTATAGATCTCGGATGGATTTTAATCATGAGCAAGTACACATGTTTACCATGCCACATACCCAATTATATGGAGACTGCTTAATGAAACGGATGAGAAATGTTTGCTTATGAATGCTAAATATGCGTTAACTTCCTCAAACGAGCCACAACCAATGCATCCATTATTTTAAAATCATGCTATGCAGATGAGTTCTTTGCTCAATTCAAGATTTCAGTGTTTCCAAAGAAACCAAATGTGTCAGACTTAATTTTAGGGAAATGTGTACAGAATATTCACAATGTATCTTTGATATTGAATATTGTTTTACTCAGTGAGAGGATCACAGACCTTTAGATAAGTGTTGAAACTAAAAATATCACAGAATAATGTTTTTCTCATTGAGTATGGATAGAAAGGCTTAGTTTCACTTTGAGGCTGTAAACCCAACATTGAATTATTGCCTTTTAAGATAATTTGGGGATCTTTTAGTAACTGGTTTATCATTGAGTAGTACAGTGTGTGTGTGAGAGAGAGAGTGTGTGTGTGTGAGAGAGAGAGGGTGTGTGTGTCTGAGAGAGAGGGTGTCTGTCTGTGTGTGTCTGTCACATACGCTACAAGGGACAAGGTCAGGCAGGGCTGCGTTTTAATTAACCAACACTCTGTTTCACACTATCATAAGCCAAGCTGTTCTTATAGCTAAGAGCCACACGCCTGACATGAAATAATCCTTTATTGATTCACTTCACTGTCTCTTTCTATCTGTCTGACTCTTTTTGTCTCTCTCTCTTCGACACACAATCGCACACACATTTCTCTTTCCCTCCATCTTATCACTGCTTGTTTGCTCTTTTATTATCATTGTGCCATTTTGTCTTTCTCCTTCACCTTCCCTCTCTTTGTGCCATTTGCTCTGTTGCACTCTCTTGCTTTTCAATATCCTTGTCTAATCTGCGTGCTGGGAGCCCAGTGAAGCATCCGAAGCTTCAGTCCACAGCGATGGTGGAGGGGCAGATCAGCGCTCACCCCATCATGTTCCTGGGCTTTTTCATCAGACAGGTGCACCTTCAGCAGAGTGTTATACTCTGAGAGAGATGTGTGTGTGTAAGTGTGGCACTGTAGGTAGATAGTTATTGCCACTAATGTAACTCTGCTACAGCCTTACACTGAACACTTATTATCTGTTACTTCACATTAAACATCAAAAACAAAATAACATCAAATAGTCTACAGTAAAATATATGTTTTATATATATGTTTTTTTTAAGGTCCTACTATATGTCTGCCTGGCTCTTCAAAGCCAGAATATCAAAAACAGCAACACATAAGCACTCAAACACCACATACCCACTTCTCTTGAGAGTGCATCATGAAACTGATGAATAGTGTTGGTTTATGAATGCTAAATGTGTGTTAACCTCTTCAAACAGGCCAGAACCATCGCAGAATACAGTTATACAAACTGCAGACAAGCATTTTGCATTACCCATTGAGCCTGGATAGAAATACCTAGTTTCACCTTTTTTGGGTGGTGGATTTTAATTTGACTAAAACGTCATGATTACTTCTCATGAACTGAAGACACATTGTGAAACGGGTGAAGTTCTACGACGAAAACACGGATGAAACCCACATCAGAAAACAGCGTGGGATGTAACTGTCAATCACAATGTAGCCCCGCCCTAAAGGATACCCTACTTTTTCTTTTTGTCTATTCAGTCAAAATAGGACAATTATTTACACAATCACCATCATAAGGAGCAGTTATACTTGGCGATTAAGTCGATACATTATTTGAAATGTTTTACTGAGGTAATAACTCTAGTAGTAGGCAGGGGTAATTTTCTCATAGACCTCTCTACAATTCGACTTGTTTTTGCAACCAATGGATTTGACCCCTTCTGGCTATTAAAGAGAATGCAACATGTTGGTACTTCCGCATTGACTTGGCTTTTCCGAACCGCATGTGTATTGTTGTAAAATGACTTGTTGATAACATAGTAATACCCCAAGAAGATGTGTGATTCTGTGCAAATAAAACACTTCTCAAAGTGGGCTGAACAAGGTCAGCATGACATTTCTTTGTCTAAAGCTGTGTGTCTGCACTTATTTGCCCCCCCTAAGCTTTTACCCTCCTCAATCCACTTCATGCACAATGTTTCTTTTAACCAGGCTGCACTGACAGATGTTTGTATGCTAATGTGTGTTTGGCAGGGGAGATTATTATGGCTTACTTACTCGACAATTGCTCAGCTCCTCTGCGGACAGGACGATAGTGCCACATTTCTTCCCTTGGATCCCCCTGTGGAATAAAGAAACGAAAAGAGCTAAACATAAATTAGTGGAAACACAGCTTCAATTTGTCCACTCTTGGCCACTCTTAATTGATCAATACAGGCCACTGCAGCAAGAATAAAAGCATTTTTCATTTCATTTAATCGTTTATTTGAAGAGGGACAGTGCATATTGATGAACATTTAAAACAAATAATGCTTTAAAACGTAAACATGCCGGATTTTTAGCTTTGAACTAGTTTCCATCCGTAGTCCCTCACATACAACATTTAAGAACATGACATTTATAGCAAAATAAATACATGATATGCAGAAAGAGCATGAGCAGCATATAAGCATTTACCACATGGCAGTACAATGTAGCAGCTACGAAATATAAAGTGCAGGAGGAGATAAAAGGGCTACATCAAGTGCAAGAGGAGATGCCCCTGTATTGAAGTGCATCTAGCGGTGATTGCACGTTTGTTTGTTTCTCAACCATTGCATGTTCCTTTTCCAATTGTGAATTAGTCCTTCTGATAATACTCCACAACACAAATCTATTTGATCCATTTAACTTCTTCAGTATTTACTGTCATTGAACAGGGCAATACGCTCAACCTGAGAAACCTCAGAGGACTTTAGCTCTAACTGGCTGTAACATATACCGTAAACTTTCTACGTTGAGGGCTGACGCGTACTTCAGTGTGATGTGTTGTGCAAGTTATACCCTATTATGCTTATGCTTACTAGAAGTTTTACACACCGGGGCAAACGTCCAGTAGCCATTTCAACTGGCCAATATGTTAATTTGTCACTTCATATTCAAGTGAATGGGTGGAGTGAGGAGTTCTGTATTAGTGAACATAGTTACATTTTCCCCCCAGACTTTCAGATCTCTCGTCTTTCATTTTAAGAACTTTTTCAAATCAATCCATCATCTCCTGGCTCGTTCAGCACACAAGAAGCAGAGCTTTTACTCCCAGCTAAGAAATATGATCCAACATCGTAACCTCAATTTATGGTCGGTTTTACATTTTTTTCCTAATTGAACAAAGCAACTGATGTAATTTCTAACTTGACTCTGAGATTTTGGAGATCATGGTTTTCCTTTACCTCGGGGAATCGAGAATAAAGGCTGCTTTTAAAACCATTCATCTTAAAAATTCCCCTTTGCACACATTCAAATTAATGTATCTTATCCTTCTCTCTTATGTCATAATATGTTAAATGTAGCTCTTTCTATTCGTGTATATTTGCCTTGAGGTCAAAATGACAGTGCCAATTTCCAATGCAGAATTATCATGACAATTCAGATTGTGTGTGTGTGTGTGTGTGTGTGTGTGTGTGTGTGTGTGTGTGTGTGTGTGTGTGTGTGTGTGTGTGTGTGTGTGTGTGTGTGTGTGTGTGTGTGTGTGTGTGTGTGTGTGTGTGTGTGTGTGTGTGTGTGTGTGTGTGTGTGTGTGTGTGTGTGTGTGTGTGTGTGTGTGTGTGTGTGTGTGTGTGTGTGTGTGTGTGTGTGTGTGTGTGTGTGTGTGTGTGTGTGTGTGTGTGTGTGTGTGTGTGTGTGTGTGTGTGTGTGTGTGTGTGTGTGTGTGTGTGTGGGTGTGTTTGGGTGGGTGTGTTAAGGTTTTTGAAATGCTTAAAGCCTGTCAAATACTAAATCTCCGCCGTCCTTAAATCCACTCAAGGTGACAGGTAGAATGAAATTGTAATGTGCACAAAATGAAAATTAGTATAAGACATTTTAATGGGAAAATATGTAAAAAAAGAAAAGCGGAAGATTAGAAAAATATGAATCCGATCTTTTCACTCTGTCTCCAGCTTGTTCAGAACGCTGTGTCAAGGCTTTTAAAATGAGACTTTAAAAAAGTATGAGAGAGAACAAATGACTCCATGTCTCTCTATTGGCTTCCTCTTAGTCATGGACATGAGTTGAACCGTGTTTTTGTCTCTCTCTGCAGAGCACGGCCTCCCCCTTGTTTCCATTAGTGAGCTCCTGTCCTCAGACCATGCTGTCACTGACGTCAGATCCTCTAACCAAAGGCCTGCCTGTTGCTTTAGGTCTTGGTTTAAAAAATGTCCACAAGCTTTGAAATAATTGTTTTCATCTGGAACTGTGTCTTGGTTGGTTGGTTATCTGTGTGTTAAGAAACTTGTGATTTCAGTATTTTTTAATTGTTCTCTCTTTTCTAATATGTGTCTGCACCGCAAAGCATTTTTTTGTTTAAATAGCTTGAATTGAGTTATGAGTTGTATCCGGACAGAACCAAATGTAACCTTCTGTCTATATGAGACCCATACATTAAATATCCTGCCAATAAAGCCATATTGCTCCAATTAAACACTAATTACAAAACCTTTCTACAACATGTTTCACCACAACATGTATCACCTTTCATTTATCTGCCTTACCTCAGCCTGTCAGATCTGTGAGATCATTAACCATCTCCTGAGAGGACTGAGAAGTTTACTGTGTTCATTCTGCATGTGTGTTAATGGCCTCATTCATCAGCTGTGTGTCACAGTGAGAGCAATGTGCCTTATTAGTTGTGTTTCATGTGGGGAAGCATCAGGGTTATCGTGAACGGGCTTTATTTTAGAGTCCTAAAATAACTTAAAGGTGAATTATCTAACGCTTGTTTCAGGGCAAATGCACAAGAGCAAAAGTGTTGTGCACTTCCCCACGGAGACAATTTACACTTCATCCTAACCCTGTTAACAACAGAGCAGACTGCAAGGATCCTAATACTAATGTTTCACTGAAGTATCCTCATCTTTCCTGATCATTTCTCCCATACTTGATATATTCCACCTGATTCCTTACAATATCTGTATTGTAGGGAAATATCTAAAACTTGATGCAAGTTGTAATTGATTGTTTAGGCATCTGAAAGCAGTTAACTAAGATTAGGCAGTTTTGGTAAAAATGTCCATGGTGACTTAAATGTGACAATAGATGCATCAACATTTAAAATATTAAATAAAACCAGCATCTTTTAAGATAAGATAGGAAAAGATGGACCGTTATTTGTCTCCGTGGGGAAATTCAGAAGGTTAAAGCATCAACAGAGTAACATGACCAAGTTATTATCAGTCTTAACTTAACAGTTTGAAGCCACAGCTTACCCACGCATCCATGAAATGCTTTCACTACAACGTCTTTGCAGAATTTAATAAACACTCTATAGTAAACATAACCAAGGAGCTATGTTGATTCCCCAAAATGTGTTTTTCAAAGTTGAGTGTCTCCTAGAAGTAAAGTAAAGATGCTTTCAATAGTTCAGCGAGAAAGTTGCAAAAAGCCTGGCTACATTTCAGATTTACACTTTACTCAAAGCAATGGTGCTATTTTCCAGCTGAAGGTTCTTGAAAGTATGCACAACAGAGTGATTGATATGATTTAATGGAAAAGGTTTTGCACTCAACATACTGCGGATCAAAGACTGGATGAAGTGTTTTCCAGCTGTGTGTATAAGTGCTCTCTGCTCTTTGTGCAGGTGTGTGTGTGTTGTTAGGAGGTAGATGGAGACCTTTCATCCAGTAAAAGACTCTCATCGATCAGCAGGTGGAAAACTATCCTGGTCGCATGGGCCACTGTGAAAGTGTTTCTTTCTTACTAGTTTCCAAAAGAGAAATGACTCTATTTAAATCGTTCTTGGCTCTTTCCTTCCTAGTCCTCCTGTAACCTAATCAATTCCCTCTCGGTTCTACCCAGAAATAACACTTTATCTTAAGGCCCCTGAAAAGCTACAGACAAAAAGAGTTTGGGTTACAGAAGTGAATCTGCGCTGTGCTGACAAGCTGTGACTGTATATTAGCTGCAGAGCGAACCAGCTACAGTATGGCTGCAATAAACAACTCAGTGTGTACAGGAACAGGCTGTCAACCATTTAGACACCCATGTGTTCTGGTCATTTTGGCTGATGAATACTTTTATGCTTTGCACAAGTTGTTTGTGAAGAAAATGTGTGTGAAGAAAATCCTGCAATATAGATAAATTACAAAGTTAATATCAACAGTTCCTAAAGCCCAAGGTTATGTCTTTAGATATTTTGGATTGCCAATTAAAGGACCAAATTCCCAAAACAATAAGTATATACTACCAAACAAGATCACAATTGAGTCTGGAAAATGTTTGCCATCTTTGCTTGACAAATGACAACCAATCAATCTTCAACATATTTAATTGATTTTCTGTCTATCAATTTACAATTTCAGCCTTAAGTTATAAAATAATCCAACAGGATATCTGTATGTGAACCATACTGTTTATTATGACTGTGTAAATCTGTGTGTAAGCAGCAATCCTCAAGATATGTTGCTCTTGGTTCCCAGTGATATTTTGTAAAAAATAATTCTGCTGCTGACTCCCGAAAAGGAAAATAAATCAGTTGGTTTTAAACTGCACTCTGTATCCTTATTAATTCCTTCTATGAAATCCATGTCATTGCTTAAAACATTGGGGAAATGAGGTGATGATGAATAAGATCTTATTTTCTGCTTGCTATTGATATGCAACAGCAACAACAACAGGCTCAGACTTGATTTGTAATTGGTGGAAGTTACAGAAGAAAGACCTCCTAAGGATGCCACACAAGATACCTCCCTCCTATTTTATTGAGCACCGGAAACAGTAATCAAATAAATGTGTCATGCTGGCAGGAATTGTATTCTTTTCAACTTTACTGGGCAAATTAGAAAGCTCTTCCTGCAATAACTTTCTGAAAAGAAAGAATATATTTTGTTTGTCTTATGAGTAAAAGCAGCGTTGCATGCATAATAGAACCTATCCATTATCGCAAAGCTTCAAAGACCCACAGGGAATACACAAAAGCGCTTTTGAACCTCGGATATTAAACAAAGAAGAGTTGAACTGTGCACAAAAACTCTCAGGTAGAGACAAATTACCGCCCGTAGGACAAGTAAACCTAGAAATAACACCAAATCCCTCAAAGCAAAAGGACCCACTGTTACATTACCACTAATAGAACACACACACACACACACACACACACACACACACACA